CCACTTAACTATGCTTTGTTTAAATTTTTATTGGAGCTTTGTTTTCTTTTCGGAAGAAAAGAACTGTGATTTGGAATAATCTGGTGGATAAAACTTTTATTGCCATGATCTTCGGAAGGAGGAGCATCAGTTGGTTCGAGATCATAGTCGGTGTAATGGTGTGGGGAACTATCTCTTATTATGTTACGTGCGAGTTGCAATTTTTGAACACGAATATGAATGCAAACACTTATAAAAACGTATTGAAAACTGCTTTTCGCCATTTCAAAAATTTGCTTGGTGATTTCCCCGCATGTTTTCAACACGCCAATGCTTCGATTCATACTAACCGGGTGATCAAATCTTGAATTCAAAAACGTTGATTTATTGAAGCGGCCGTCTTACTCACCGGGCATCAATATAATAGAAAACGTGTGGAGATGGATGGTCCGCAAAGTTTACGAATCTGGCAGACAGCATTTTTCGGTTAATTTCATAAATCATAAAAAAGTATTGAAAAATAGGGGAACATTAATTTTTATATTCTGTACATGAAATGTACAAGAGTATATTAGCTTTGCGGGAAGTGAAAAATGTAACAGGCAGAAGGAGGCGTGGCAAACCCCACAAAGTATATATATTCTTGATCAGCATGACAAGACGAGTCGATCTAGCCCTGTCTATCTGTCTGTCAGTCTGTCCGTCCGTATGAATACCATTTCTCCCCTATGGGCGTTTTCCCGATTTTCCATTTGCTTAATCGCCTATATCTCGGAGACTATAAGACTTAGAGTCCACGATGCCTTGTGTGAATACGCAGAAAACGTGTATTTTGGAATTTCCCTCCCTCCCCGCTTCCCCCCTTGCAAATCGTAACTCAAGCAATCGCTGCCCGCAGCTGTTGTTGATGCTGGTGCTTTGGTTGATTGCAAACATGCTTACACAGACACGAATAGACGCGCATAAAAATACATACACTCACATAGACGCAATTGCTATGTAAATGTGCAATTATACACCCTTTACGTGAGTTCGAATACCGAGAGAGGTATAATCGATCAAAATTTTTTAAAATTTTTCTTAATTTTTTTTTAAATTTCTTTAATTATTCAAAACATATATACAGAGTATTTCAAAGTCGGGCTTTTTTACTTGTTTTTATATTACAATTTCGTTTTTCTTTTTTCTATTTTTTTTATCTTGTACCTAAAAGGTAATAGGGTATATTGGTTTAGTGCGAGTGTACATGGAACACACAGAAGGAGGCGTGGCAGACCCCACAAAGTATATATATTCTTGATCAGGGTGACAAGCCGAGTCGATATAGCCATGTCCGCCTGTCTGTATAAACGCAAGGATCTCGGAAAGTGTTAGAGATACAATAACCAAACTTGGTATCCAGATTCTCCTGAGCCCGAGAAAGGACGAGTTTGTTCATTTTTTCTGATGCACCCCCCTCTCCACCTATTTGTGTTTTTTTTATAACTTCCGTAATTCTTGGAATTTTGAAATCAATTTTGGTAGTTACATCCAATTGTATGTGCCCATCATATGTGTCCGAATGCCGTGTACCCTTTATCATGATTGGTCAATTCTGAAGAAAGTTATAGCCATAAATAAAATCGCTGCCCATGCTCTGCTTGCAGCTCTGCCCCCAGCTGTTGTTGTTGTTACTGCTTTGCACAGGCACACGAGACATACACAGACACACACAAATACACGAATAATTATTCTACACATATGTACAGAGGATTTCAAAGTCGGGACACCCGACTTTAGCATCTCTACTTGTTTTTTCCTACAGTTGGAATGTTTTAATTATCCAAGCATATAAGATTGAATCAATGCTTTTTTAAAGAACATATAGAAGCTATCTTTTCTAGAGACGATTTTTAATGACGTTTCTTATATTATATCTTAAGCATTTATTTTCACTTTGCAACGTGTGTGTGAACGGTATATTCGGGCATAATTAAAACATTGACAAATATTTAGAAAAAGGTGTGTAATTTTAAGACAGTAAATAATAATAAAATTTGCATATTACGGAAATTATATTAATGGAATGATCTGTAATATCACAATCCTTTTCTTTTCCACAATTCTAAAATTAATTTAATAATAATTTCTTTTTGTTGTGGTAATATTTGTCCATGGATGAAAGCGGTAATGGTTTCGTTCTTCAGATTGCACTCATTTACAGCGTCGTAAAAAAGGCACTTTGAAGGGGTACTTTGTAAAGCATGACAATAGAAGTAATATACTTACATTGGTAGAAAAAGAAACCAATTTGTAAATTGTTAATTATACAATTTACAGCTTTGCTTTGTTAAAAAGAAAAGAGTGATTAACTTAGATGAATAACGATTTATAGTTTCACATTCAGTTACTTTATTTTCAGATACAACATGGTCAATTATACATTTTAAAGGAAAAAGGCGAAGGATTTGCATTGTCTAACACCCCAGAATGAGCTACCATCATGACGGCATTGTCCACTGGAGCATCCTCGGTATTGCTTTTAGAAAATTTATATTTGATTAGTTTTAATGTAGTGCAACTCAGTTAAAGTAAATTATCTTTAGACAACTTTTTCCTGCTATTAAAAACAACTTTATTTTCATGATCATCATAAACAAGTAGAGAAGCTAAAGTCAGGTGTCCCGACTTTATGAAATTAAGAAAATGTAAAAAATTTGGTCAGTATGAACGCAAAGCAAGTAGAAGAATTAGAATAATCAAACTTGGTATTGAGGTTCTCCTGAGCCCTAAGCAGATCAAGTTTGTTTATTTTTCTGATACAACCCCCCAAAATTCGTGTTTTTTCCACGTGGATTCATCGGGAAAAAATACTCAAGCTCGTCCTTTCTCGAACCAAGGAGAATCTGGATACCAAGATTGGTTATTCTAGCTCTTATACTTACTGAGATCCTTGCGTTCATACAGACAGACAGACGGACATGGCTATATCAACTCCTCTTGTCATCCTGATCAATAATATATATACTTTGTGGAGTCTAACACGACTCCTTCTGCCTGTTACATACATTCGCACAAAACTAGTATACCCTTTAGGTACACGGCATAAAAAATTATTTTTTATTATAATTACACTCATTTTGAAGCTTTTATTTCATATATTTGTACTAAAGTAGCATATTATTCGCTAATAAGCGATCATTCGACCGCCCACGTACCACACGTCAGAAAGGAGGAGAAAGTAAAAGGAATGTTAAAATAAAAGTTTTTAAATAAACTAGTACTTATACGTATACGTACATATACGTAATTGGATCTAAAAAACCAACATGATCAAGTGATGGCTGTAGTAGTAAAAAATTTAACCATCACATATGTAAATAGGTTCACAATAACTTTATCTACTTTTAATGACACACACGCCCCATTAGATCATTTAGTGCGGACAGTCAGAGAAGCCATCTGTTGTAATATACAAGCACAATGAAATTCTGGTGAAGCAAGAATATATAATATGCAATCATTTCTGACAAAGCAAGAATATATAAAATTCAATAATTTCTGACGAAGCAAGAATATTTAATATACAATAATTTGGTTCAGAAAATCTTACACATTTGGATTTGAGGGCAACAAATTGCATTTGCTTCAGGTTTTGACGCATTGTTTTGTGATAAATATTTTTGAAGAGCACTTTGCTATAACAGTGAAATTGTTCTACAACTTCAATTTTTATACCCTGTACCCGTAGGGTAAAAAGGGTATATTAGGTTAGTGCAAAGTATGTAACAGGCAGACGGAAGCATCTCCGACCCCATAAAGTATTTATATCAACAGAGAAATCGATCTAGACATGTCCATCCTTCTGTCTGGATGAATGTCTAGATTTTGGAAACGGCTGGGCGCACGTTAATCAAACTTGGCATGCAGATGCTCCTAGTCCCTAGTTGGTACGAATATATATTTTTTTTGATTTTCTCTCCCCTTTCCCCGATACAGAATTTCGTCAATACCAATAAATAGATACATAAATATACAACAATCTAATTTTGTTTTGAATTTCATCCAAATCGGTAAATTCTAAGAAAAGTTAAAACGATACAATTTCACTCCAGTACTACGCCCACAAACTGCAGCATCAAGTTGGCTCTTTTTCTTCATTTTGGTTCTGCTAGAGGCGCATATAACTCAGTGTCGGAAGTTTGCCTGGGTACAGGGTATTTCACTGTCGGGCTTGCTCGACTGTAGCATTCTCTCTTGTTTTTGCTTGTTATAGAAAATTACTTTTAATTACACTGAAGTGTTAAACTTTTGAATGGAGAATAACAGGCGACATTTTATGGGTGGATAAATCAATATCAACCTGACATCGCGAATAATGACCATGGATGAGCAATTGTAAATAAATCAAGAAAGTCGAGCGGGCCCAACTCGTCAATACCCTGTACCCACAAGCAAAAAACGAACCAAATTTTTCCAAATACTTTTAAATTTAATGAATTAAATGTAATATCACCAATTGTCCCTATTTGTATTTGTTTTATTGTACACATACAAGTACATATCATATTGAAAACCAAGTATTAATAGAGTAGGCTATTAATTAATTGACAGCAGAATATAATTTAAAGAAATTAAATGAATACGTGAAATCTTAAATAATATAAAATTACTACAAATTTATTATTGCCAAATTAAGCATTTTTGGGTATGGTCAGTAGTGGTGGGTGTTAGCTTAATCAGAATTAAATATTTTGTTTTATAGATGATGATCTTTTTCTTTGTACTGACTTAAAACGTTATAAAATAAAAAATACTTAAAAAATACACCTTTTTTGCATTTTATGAAATAGACCTATTTAGCTATAGTTGTTTTCGCATTTGCAGACTGAACTGCAATTTTTTAGCACTACCTAGACATATCAGAGAGGTTCATTAAATATTAAATGTAGCCCCAAGATAGCGAAACAATGATAAGTATACTTAGAACATACAATCACTCGTATACTCGAAATACATACCGTACAAAAACCCTCTGCTTTTAAGAAGCCCCAAATTCTATTTGTAGTGTAGTGTGTAAAATTAGAATCGGTACAATCACTATAGAAAAATATTGGACTTCAGTTTCAAACGAGAGCGCTGTCGAGTACCATTCAAAATAGGGGGCATAATTAGTGATGGTAATTACGCTCTGTTGCTTATAGGGACATAAAAATAATTATAATTATAATATCGAGCAGGCATTGAAGCGGGAAGACAATTTAGTTTTTAAACTAAACTACCAACAAACATTTTCAATTGCAGCAAAATGCCTAGGGAAAGCCGAGATACATTATGAGGCAAAATATACCGGTATATCTTCCCAATAGATATAAAAAAGAGTGGATGCCCAATATGCGACGTCCGAAAATATCTCTGAAAAAATACTTCTTCTTTACATTAGTTTGTGCGTTGTTGCTTATATTTGGGTTTAATCTTAAGTAAGTAATTGTATCATGCAACAATAAGAAAGCTACATGTTGGCAGATTTCTCCCTAATTACTCATTTTCAACTTCAGAGAGTATGAAATTTGGAAAACGAAAAGCGCGCGCTTTTCTCCATCGACAGAACAGCAGCAAGATGGGCAAAATAAGGTCAAGATTGTCCAGAGTGATGAGGCAACATCATCGGAGAAGCATAGCACTGCGATTCCACGACCGATTGCAGTATCTGACAATAATAGCTTAGTTCCCGTTGATGAGATGGGGAGCAAAAAGTCCGCAATTTCAAAGGCTTGGTACTTTAGAAATGGGGACTACCACCCAAAGGCGATATTTACCAGTGTGTATAAGCGGCATTCGTCGAAACTGTTCCCTCATCAGGATATCCATAATGACCGTATAGTTAACCAGCTGATGTACGTGCCAGAAAACTACGCACAAATTAAAGCAAGCGGCAAACTAAAAAGCATACTACTCTACAATGGACTGAGCCCATGGAATGTGAAGCATGGCCGGGAAGTCTTTTTGCGCGCCAAGTGTCCTGTGGACACTTGTGAACTCACTGCCAATCGTGATTTGGCATCCACGGCAGATATGATATTATATAAGGATCACATCATACCTACGGGTCTAAGGAGACCTAGCAATGCCAAGCAGGTCAGCATGCTCTACTATCTCGAATGTCCATATCATACACAGATCGTGAAGGTACCAGATGGCCTCAACTGGACAGCCACATATAGGTGAGTAAAAAAACTACTTCAGAATTGTCAAAAGATCAATATTAAATACCAGCATTAACACAATAGACGAGATAGCACAATTGTTGCGCCTTACGAGAAATGGCAGTACTATGACCCTAAGGTGCAGCAACAAGACCAGGATCACAACTTTGCAGTCAACAAAACCAAAAAAGTGGCCTGGTTTGTCTCCAATTGCGCGGCGCGCAACGCCAGGCTTCAATACGCACATGAGCTCCAAAAGCACATTGAAGTAAGTAATTATATCTTAAACCGAAATTCTTTTATCTTACTCTCCTCTGCCTTCTTCGCATTTACTCCCACTTAGGTTGATATCTATGGTGCCTGTGGAAACTTCCAATGTGCTCGCAGTAACTCAGATAAATGCTTTGAGATACTCGATCAAGACTATAAATTTTACCTCGCTTTCGAAAATTCCAACTGCAGAGACTATATAACCGAAAAGTTTTTTGTCAATGCGCTGCAACGCAATGTGCTACCTATAGTTATGGGTGCGCGGCCCGAGGACTATGAGGTTAGCGCCCCCCGACGCTCTTACATACACGTGGATGAATTTGCATCGCCTAAGGAGCTTGCCGAATACCTGCACATTCTCGACCGGGATGACGATCTTTATAACTCGTACTTTAAATGGAAAGGCACTGGTGAGTTTATCAACACGTACTTTTGGTGTCGTGTTTGTTCAACATTGCACGACGAGGAACAGTTGCTGAACCCACGGTGGTACCCAAATGTAAATGAGTGGTGGCGTGGTGAGGGCACCTGTACGATCCGATCATGGCGAAATTATAAGGCGCGCAAGGATGTAATAACCGATGACTGAGCTCCAAAAAAAAAAATTAAGATATGAATTTTATTTGTATGCACAAAAATAGGTGTATGCTGGACTGCGGTTATTCTCTGCTTTAGATTCAAGATCTATATGTCCATATGGAAAATCTTTATAGAGCTCGCTCTTAAAGTCTTACCGAAACTATTACTACTGCTGCAGTGTAGTATTTACACAAATAAGAATGCATTAAATAATCCCGGAATTTTAAATTTGAGACAAACTCTCCCTTGCAAACTTTTAGATTATTTTGTTAGCCGCAAAACTACAATCTATTCTGAGAGCTTTTTTCGCTACATTTATTTTATTCTTATAAGAGCATTTAATAAATTGGATATGATGGCAGCTGGGCTGGAAAGAACATATCGGAAGATATGCGTATTAACTGGACTGTAGACTTAAGATCATTAGGTGATCCTTGTAACATACACAATAGAGAATACTATTTAATTAGGTACTTTAATAAACGACGGTAACCTTTTAAATAGTTGACTAATATAAAATTAAATTGAATATCCTTAGTATTAAGGGAAATGGAACATGGCACAACAATAATTAATGTTCAGTAGTGTTGAATGTCTTTACTATAGAAGCTAGAAAATTAATAAACTAGAAAAATATATGCGTGTATTCTTCTGTATCCAATTATTTGAGCAATATAACTACGAAAATTAATTTTTGTCGGATCTTGGAATCTCGGTTCTTTTGTTTGGAACTTTAGCACTATATTTGCTTTATGATCACATGATATATTATAATTTTATACTACGGAAAAAAGCAGGCAACATTCCTATTTGTATAATATTATTATTACTTATGATCTTATGTATATAAGCTAAAATAGGTCAAACAAATCGCAAGTTTTTAAAAAAGTTCCTCTCGTTTATAGAAATCGACGAATCTTTAAGAATCTTGTAACGAATTTTAACCAAGTATGTATAATTTTTCTACGAATTTTCTTTACACACACTAAATTTATAATAGTTTCAATACACTAGTTGAAATGGATCATTATTGTACATTTAAAAACTTGTATTCCTATTTATCCGTGAACCAGCACAATCCTTTTTAGTCTTTTGTTAAATTTACAGTTTATAGTCCTTATTCTCAATATTTTGGTACTTGTCAAAGCCAATACTTTACAACATTAAGATAATTTTCAATCAGTAAGCTGCAATTGTTCAATATTTTAAGAAACAGGAAAATAATGTAAAATAAGTGTAAAATAAAATAAGTTTTTATACCAAAAGAAATGTTTGTCTATAGCAAATATGTAGTTAACTGAATCAGGTGTGTAATACTTGCAATGCTTCAAACTTGAGAATTGTAGGTAAGTTACATAAAATACAGCCGTTCTTATCTGTAGGTTTATTTCTAATATGCGATTCGTCAATATTATATGATTTTTTTGAGGACGAATTTTACTATGTAAGCTTTTTTATTAATTAATTTAATTTAATACCTATCCCATGTATTGTATAGTTATTGGTTGTGTTTATTTATTTTTTCACTGTGATTTAATTAAATAATGCTAATATTGGAAATAAATAACATGTTTATACATGTCAAATGTGTAGGATGTGTTTTTGTGTTTGACTAGCAGTCACAGGTGAACTTCACCCTACCACTTTCACCGTATTATTCATAATATTGGAAATTATATGGACCAAAGGAAGTGTTGTTTTTTCAACAAATTAGATACATTGAAAATATTTATAGCACTGCCTTGGCTGCCTTGTAGTGGACAAAAAGGTAGTAGGTGTCGATATGATTTTTGTATATCTTTTCCAGGACTTGGCGCAGTGTGAAGATCTGGTTAAGGGTTGATTTGCCAGGTCGGTAACCACACTGATAAGGTCCAATCAGTGTCTTTGCATGTGGTTTCAATCTCTCACACAGTACGCTCTAAAAAACCTTATATGCGATTGAAAGAAGACTAATACCACGATACATTGCACAAACATAATATACCCTTTTTGGGTGTCCCGACAGTGAAATACTCTGTACATATGTATGTGTATAATAATTATGCGTGACAGGAGACACAACAACAACATCTGCGGGCAGTGCTTGGGCAAAGATGACTATATGGCTATAACTTCCTGTTTAATCGACCTATCATTATGGTTGGCATACGGACTCATAATCACTAACTGGAGTGATTTTCCAAATTTCAATGAAAAATTCCTAGAAATACGGGAGTTATGGAAAATCAGCGATTGCGGGGATGAGGGGGTGTCTCTAGTTCTTGTAGTCTCTGAGGTCCAGGTATTAATAGGGGCAGACGGGCATGCCTAGATCGACTCGGCTTGTCATGCTGATCAAGAATACATATATGTACTTTGTGGGGTCTGCCACGCCTCCTTCTGCCCGACAGTAAAATAGCCTGTACTCTCCACAAAAAGGAAAAATTAAAAAAAAAATAATTAAATTATTAAAAAAAATGAATGAATGAATTAATAAAAATAATTAATTAATTAGAATACATGTTTATGTTCAGTTTAAACAGCATACATTTACATCACGTACCTATGCGTGTTTATATGCGTGTATGTATGCAGCACAAAGTTGAACAAAAGCAGCAACAACAACAACAGCTGTGGGCAGCGCTGCCGACAGAGCTGCAGGCATCGCATGAGCAGCGATTTGACTTATGGCTATAACTTTCTTCAGAATTGACCTATCATGATGAAATGATGGCACACGGACATATTAGTACTAACTGGATGTACCTACCAAAATTGATTTTAAAATTCCGAGAATTACGGAAGTTATAAGAAAAAATACGAATTGCGGGGGAGTGGGGGGGTGTTTTAGAAAAAATAAACAAACTCGTTCTGCCTAGGGCTTATATGAACCTTGATACCAATTTTGGTTATCCTAGCTCTTGTACTTACTGAGATCCTTGCGCTCAGACAGACAGACAGACGGACATGACTATATCGACTAGTCTTGTCATCCTGATCAAGAATATATATACTTTGTGGGGTCTGCCACGCCTCCTTCTGTGTGTTACATACATGCGCACAAAACTAGTATAGCCTTTCACCCTTTGGGTACAGGCCATAACTATACATACATAAGTGTTTATGTACAATTTCAACCGCATACATCCCATCAAAATTGTGAGCGACAGCTCCCATAGCTGTTCGGGTATAAGAGCTGTCGCATTCGTGCTCTCTGTGAGCGAATTTCATTTCATTTACAGTGAGGCAGTCAACAGAGACGGTCGATCCACGCCGATTATGCTCTTTGAATGTGTGCGGGCACATATATACACGTATGTATATGTTTATATGTATTTGTGCATTTTTCTATTTTGCGATCAGCAGCTTCAATTTTGTTTCAGATTTTACCTTCTACATGGGCATGAGAATTTCATACACTGTTGCCATCTTCTGTCGCATTGTATTTTGGGATGAACTTTGTCAACAGTGTATGGGTTGCTAATAATGCCCAGCAGTACGGCATACTGGTCCAAAACCGGTGCAAATACCGGTCCGCAGCGTATCACCATTAATCCAAACTTCATACCATGCCTCCCTTCGTTTTTACACACGATGTCATACGTCTCGCCAACATCGGACTGCTAAATGGACCGATCCATTTTATAACGAGTGGACTACCCGATGGACTGGTCCTCTATACGTCCTATTCTTGGATAGCTGCAGAGCTCTGCGTAACTCGACTTCTGCGGAGCCTTCACAATGAATTTATATGCAATTCCGAAATTGTAAATTTATTTAATTGTATGAGTATATCATTTATTTGTATAAATACTTCATTTTTACCTTTTTATATGTAGCACTTTTCAAAACAATTCGCTTTTTACGGCGCAATTAACACACGCGTCACAGGCAACACTTTGCGGGAAACTAAATGTCAGAACAAGACAAAGCAATCGGAGGCAGGGAAAACGGAAAAGAATAGAAAAGTAACTAAAAAAGCAACGTCATTTGCCTAATATTTGTTGGTGTAATTAAACGAGCGAACAAAGTAGTGAGACTTGCCTAATATTTGTTATTGTTACTTGATGACGAACAAAGCGCACGAGCATCAAATCGTTTCTTGTAGCACTGTCGCACTGCCTTCCGATCGGGCAACGAAAGAGGAGTCAATACATTTTCGTAAATCTGTTTTGTGTCGACGTTCTACCGGCGCCTACCTAAAGGGACTGGTGTTGACAGTGGTTGAGCTTAGGACCGGTCCATGGGTAGCCCAAAGCGGACAATTGCCACAAGCCGAACTTAAGTGTGCCTATAAAATATGTATATACACATATGTATATACATAAGTACATATGTATGTATGTGTGCAAATGTAGTGTTCATATGCAGACAGTAAGTAGCCCTGCCAGTTGGCATTTAAATCGAATTAATTTTAAAATATTAGTTTAAAATATTTTATTTAATTTACACATCTTTTGATAATATCCGGGGAACACCACATGGAGGTCATCAAAATTTTAATGGGGTCCTAAATTAATACAACCTTTGAGTCGACTTGAATTGACTTAATTTCAACGATGCTTTGCCGCGGGTATGCTCGGCAGTCAGAGTGTGCTGTAATTTCTATTGGGCACCCCCAAGGAAAGAGCTCGTCAGATTGTTTCAACAGCGGATTACTGTATTTATTAGATTCCTTCCGTATTGCAACACAAGTGGTCCTCCTCGTTGGCTACCAAAACTGAACTAAAACTCCATTTTCTAAGAACACTTAACTATCATTACAAATACATCTACATACTACACTAAAGCTATTGCCATCCTGCTTCTTTGTAACGCCACACTGTGTATACCAGCGCGTCGTTAAAAAATGCATAACATTTTAATTACTATTTATAAATATTTGAAATTAAGTCAAATCCATGTTTCCCACTTAATATTACTTTATTTAGTGTCTTAACATACAAGTAATTATTTGCTACTATTTAAACATAAAGTAAGACAAAATTTTACTGTTTTTTATACTCTGTACATGAAATGTACAGAAGTATATTAGGTTTGCGGGAGCTGAAAAATGTAACAGGCAGAAGGAGGCGTGGCAGACCCCACAAAGTATATATATTCTTGATCAGCATGACGAGACGAGTCTGTCTGTCTGTTCGTCCGTATGAACACCTGGATCTCAGAGACTATAAGAGATTCCGTAATTCTTGGAATTTCTAACTAAAATTTTGCAAATACCCCCAGTTAGTTATTATGTGTCCGTATGCCAAGTTCACTATGATAGGCCGATTAAACAAGAAGTTATAGCCATAAATATATTTGCTGCTGCATCGCTGCCTGCGGCTGTTGTTGATGTTGCTGTTTGGTTGACTGCTAACATGTTTACACAGACACGAATAGATGCGCATAGGCATACATACACTCACACAGACGCAATTGCTATGTAAATGTGCAATTATACACCCTTTACGTGAGTTCGAATACCGAGAGAGGTAAAATCGATCAAATTTTTAATTTTCTTAATTTTTTTTATTTTCTATAATTATTGTAAACATATGTACAGAGTATTTCAAAGTCGGGACACCCGACTTTAGCTTTTTTACTTGTTTTATTTTTAATTTATTTAGAGCTACCTCTTAGTTCTTACTACCAGCAATCCTATCTGTTATCAATTTATGAAGCTGAAGACGAATTGCTTGCGTTACGAGCAAACTGACAGTTGTTCATAGTGAAAAACGAATTCGATGCGTATATATTTTCGTTAGGCACAATTTTCTTTCAAGATCGATGTTTTATTTCCGATGGTCGATGTTCTTTATTACTTGTCCATCCCTGAATTTTTATATTTTGTACATGAAATGTACAAGAGTATATTAGGTTTGCGAGAGGTGAAAAATGTAACAGGCAAAAGGGGGCGTACAGACCCCACAGAGTATATTATATTCTTGATCAGCATGACAAGACAAGTTGACCTAGCCCTGTCCGTCTGTCTGCCCGTCCGTAAGAACACCTGGATCTCAAAGACTATAAGAGATATACACAACAGGCCGACTGTAAAATAGCCTGTACTCTCCACAAAAAGGAAAAATTAAAAAAAAAAAATTAAATTATTAAAAAAAAAATGAATTAATTAATTAATTTAATTAAATTAGAATTCATGTTTATGTTCAGTTTTAACAGCATACATTTACATCACGTACCTATGCGTGTTTATATGCGTGTATGTATGCAGCACAAAGTTGAACAAAAGCAGCAACAACAACAA